TCTGTTGCTGACAGTGACTTTGTGTTTCTTCGCGTGCTTCATGTTCTCCACAATACGCTCGCTTTCCACCTCCGACACCTGCCGATACAGCATAGCCCACGGGAGTGGCTTTCCCATTTGTTAAAGCGGCTGTGTCAGATACATTGTTAGCAATCAAGCAAACAAAATACAATAATTACGTAGTTTTAGCGTCCGTACGGTAGGGAGAGGATTTCGTCTAGCTACTCACTATGGGCTTACGAGTGCTGCGCGTAGAGACGGTGGCTGGTCTTGACGTTTCCTACCGCAGATTTTGATTGGATGCGTGTCGGCCAATCTCCGGAGGTTTGTAATTGGCCACTGGTTGGCTAAAATTTAGTTTGTTTGATTACCTGACATTTGGTGGATTGATTGATCTTCTAGTGGATTTGTCAATTCAGCTATGGATTAGTATAGTGTGTTATTTACTGGGCTCACAGATCTGTGGATTAATACTATCTCTGTGGATTGACCTCATAGTACTGTGGACATTTTACGCGTCCTCCTGTGTACTGTGTGTTTCCACTTTGTATGGTATGTTTTTAATTGGAAATTGTACAGTCCATGTTTTAATGGCCGTGTATTATACATGTGAGTTCCCGCAAATGATACCGACAATTTCCATAATTATTTATTTTATTTTTGGAGCTGCAGATTGAAACCTACGCATGGAGGTGGCGAGCTCTCATTTCCACCTGCACGTCTCCAACAGTAGTAGGAACCAGTATGCAGAGACGTGGAGGGGGGGGCACAATCGACAATTCCGACCCGTAAACGACAGAAAGGTCCTGGCAGGAGTGAAGCCGCGCGTCTGCGAGCTATCGAAAAGCTCGGAGAAGATGTAGTGACGCAGATAAGAACGGATTGAGATTCCTGGGAAACAAAATACGGTGGGAGGGAGTGGGAACAGTCTGAAGGTGTAGTTTCGAACCTCCTGCAACAAAACTTATCTGAGCGTGAAATAAAGCCAATAATTCCTGTTGGCGGCAGCCAAATTGCACGACTTCGAAAGACAATAAAATCTGGAGTTGAAGTTCTGCACACTCGTCGACCACCTAAGAAACCGTCGCATGCATTTGATCCGGAGGTTTGGATTGAAAGCTCACTGTTTGACATGGATTTTAGAGGACGGCTTTCCTTGCCCTCATCGTCGCCCACGTCAGTATTTTACTGAGCCTAAGGTGACCTGGAAGCTGCTACACGAACGCTATTGTGATGAAGTAACGCGAGCTGACCCAGATATACGTACCATGAGCTATGAGAGGAGTTACTCAGTACGTTCATTTTTTTATCCTGGTGAACGCTTGACGCGCACTAAGGAGGACGTGTGTGATTGCTGTGTTCGTCTGGACATCATCTTGCAACAGACAGACATAACAGAGGATGAGAAAAACAGCGTCATTTTGGAGAAACGTACCCATCTTGATGAAGCTATTGCACAGAGGCGTTTTGTTTCGACGTTTGTAAAAGGATTTGCTGTATTGCATGCCCCGGACCAAAATTTGCCTACGACGATCATTCCTGACACTGTCGACGCGGACGACAGCGATTTAAGTGATGGCCGAGTATCTAGGGATGAACTACCGCAATTAAACCAACACCCGCGTGTACAGATACAAGCCGAAGACTATGGAAGTGGAATTTCTACGCCTCACTATGGTAGCTCTCGTCCTTCAGCGGACTACTTCAATAGTAACTTAATTATCCAGAATTTTGTCGTCGCTGACATTACCAGCAACCGCAATCATGTTTACTTTTATGATGAACGTGCCCAAGGCAAGAATGCAGATGCCCTCTGTAGTTTGAGACTGCTTACCACTTATCAACGCTGCAAACTAATGCAATAAATGGCTTGCCCCAGTCTGAAATTTGCCTCAGCATACTCGACAACTGCGTTGGCCAAAATAAGTCGAAGGTTGTCATGGTGTTTTTTGCTATGCTGTCTGTGGTATTCCCATACCAGAAAGTGGTATTGTGTTTTTTTTACTTCCTGGACATTCACACAACATTGCAGACAGAGTGATTTCCTGGTGCCGCCGGGCTGTGCGCAAAACCAATTTGTACACACCGTCTGATCTTGTCAGTGAAGATAACAAGGTTAAGAGTGTGGAAGGTGTTTTTCTAGACCACACCGACCCTATGCGCCCGTTTTACACAGGATGGGGCATTTGCCGGCGTAATATTTTACTGATCCTCCTGCAGGTTACACATCAAACTACTTGTTTGAAATTGACGAATGAATATGTACTGCACGCAAGACAGTCAACACACCTGATGAAGATTCTGCTACCTTCTCAATGGTTAAGCAGAGCACCCTTACCTCGATTCGAAAAGCGTTTTTGGCTGAGCTATTCGGCCCGGGTATTACAACTATCTGGGAAGCATCCACTAAACGCGTACAGCTTCCACGTCACGAGACACAGGTGCTGTCTGATAAAAAGATCAAATCCCTCTCCGCTAAGTATTTCTCAATACCCAAGCAACACCTTCACTACTATCCTTAGGTGCCGGAGTCCATAATAAATGCCGCAGTGCACCAAGAGGACGAAGCATCCCCACATCCGCTCCTACATCGGCCAAGCGAGCACCTGGCCGTCCATAGAAAAAGAAGCCCCAGATGAAGGCGAGCCAACCGTTGATCCTCCAGCTCTTTTCCAAACCAATCAAGCCGACAGGAGGTTAGAAATTGGTACATTTATGATCAGTATGACAAACATCCATGTTGGATACCGGTTGTTTTGGGAGTACCGGGGCCCACCGGGACCCCGGGTTCCCGCCTATGCGTTCATGTTTTAGCCATGTTTGTAATTTATAAATTTTATTACCGTTTTTAAGCAAGAACAAATTTTGACTGAGCTTGAAAAGGAGATTTGTCAACAGTAATATTTCGATTAGAGTTTAGCTTAAGAGGAACCTTCTAGCTGCCACAAGTGCTCAACCAAATCGTTGCGCAATTTATAATGCTGTTCGGTGCTTTGAATTGTTTTGGTCCGAGAGGACATAGCCAGCAAAATCATTCCCATTTTCACAAGATGCAGTAACCTGCGATGATCCTTCGTAGTCGTTTGGTAAGTTGTCAGCGCTCATCTTCAACGATCATATTGGTGAGTATGATACATGCTGTTACGATTTTAGTTAAATCGTCCGGACTCCAGAATCGTGCTGGTCCTTTTATTATTGCCCACCTCGATTGCAACACTCCAAAGCCGCGCTCGACATCTTTTCTGGCAGCTTCCTGCAATCTAGCGAAGTGTTTTTCCTTTTTATCTCTAAGGACAGCAATGGTCTGCACAAGTACAGCCCACGCTGAGTCAAGTATTAGCCACTAGACGCCGTTCGGAAAACGATATGCTTGCAAGCATATCACGTACCATCTACCAGGTAGTATCCCATGTCGTATGAGTCTTGCGTTTGCAAGATCCGAAAAGAGGTTGGAACGGTCTAGCACGCTGATGTCATTATGCGATCCAGGCATGCCAAAAAATGCGTGCCAGAACCACAGATCACGAGACACCACAGCTTCCAGCACGATGGTAGACTTCTCCTCTTTCCCAGTGTACTGTCCTGCCCATGCCGTCGGACAGCTCTTCCATTCCCAGTGCATACAATCAAGGCTCCCCAACATGCCAACGAAACCGCATTCTCCATGCATTTCTAGTAGCCGCGATATACCTTCACTGGTTGGCGCTCGCAAATATTCGTCTCCATACACAGCAATTACAGCAGAGCAAAAGCGCAGCAAACTTTTGATGGCTGTACTTTCACCGATCTTGATATACTCATCCACAGCGTCTGCGGGCATGCCATACGCGAGCTGACGAATGGCAGCAGTGCACTTTTGTAGCGCTGACAGACCGAGTTTTCCCTTGCATCAGGTCTTTGCTGGAAATAGTCATCGTTCTCTGCCACTGCACGGACGAGGCGAAGATAAAGAGACCGGCGCATCCTAAAGCGACGCCGAAATGTGCGTGCACTGTACACGGGGCTGTCCGAAAAGTAGTCCCGAACGAGGCGCTCGTGGGCTTCAGCTTCCCCACGATCGACGTTTGGAAGGCGACCAGCCGACGAACCGCGCCGAGACGAAGGCGAAAACGCTTGAGCAGTACACGTAGTGTAGGCAGCAAGAAGACGTGCAATTTCATCGTCGCCGTCGCCGTCAAACTGATGGAAAAGCTTCAGCGCGGTGCTGTCGGTTTCCATCTCCTAAATCGTTGGATGCGATTTAGTTTTAGTCACCAGCACCGGTGGAGCGCTGTACTGGCTTTGGCACCGTTGTGGTGTCGAAAGCTCAAATCTGCGACTACAGTAATCGCTCTCCATTCCGGTAGAGCGATTGTTGTACTTTGCGTTTAATTTTACTCACCACCGGTGGAGATGCTCTTAGTATGTAAACAGCTTACAAATTTATTTTATTTTTACAGACAAGGTGGACAAATCCAGAGCACATGTATTAATACTGTATTATGAAAAGGCTCGTGTTAGAGTCAATAACCAGTTTGCATAGCCGGTCCATTGATCACCAACCAAGATGACCAATCACCACTAACCGGTTAGTTTTTCGTTAGTGGTTCGTAATTTAATCCTGCTAAGTACGTATTAAAAACCTTAGGTACGAAATAAAAATATTAAGTACGATCTGATTTCTCTACGAATGAGCTGATTGTAGAGATTTTAGTGTGACGTTGTACGAATGTTGACTGAGTGTGGAGGCGACTTAGCGAAAATTTGTGTCTGCCATCGCTCATGAAATCCAAAGCAGCCGTGGCCACAAAGCGCAACTATGGGTATTCTGCAATCTATTGTTATTTTATCCTGTCAAGTATGCCTGTCGTCGGCGGCTTTCGTCTCAACGTGGGATCGGGTTACGCAGATTCAGAGTGCCATGACTTAGCGTTTCGCGATTCCGGATCAACAAAGTAAAACGGCAATGTATTTTGTGCAGTTATGAATCGTTCATGGTTACCCCAGGGTTTCTGCAGAACACTCCCTTGCTAGACAGAAAAAAATAGCGAAAGCGTAGATACTCGACTTGTTCGCTGGAAACCTTGGGAACTGGGATACCCCGCACAGCACACTCAAAGAACAAGAGAGTTAAGGGACCGCAACTATTTATATCTTCTTGTCGTGGGGCGCGTTGATGGATCGGATCAAGGGTCTCAGTGTATCCTCCAAAATACTTGTCCAAAATTTTGCTGATTTCCTTGTAGTTTGTCATCGTCTGCGCCGGGTCAAACATCGTTGCTTTCCTCTTCTCGTAATCCAGGACAGCACCAGCCCAGTGCGATTCCAGATACATAGGAATGAGAACTAACCGGTTGGTAGTCTGACATGGCGAGTTGGCAATAACTTGTTGCTTCATGACTTCATTATGCACTCTCGCATACAATGGATTCACCCCTCCAATACGACTTCTTCCGCTTTTGTCTTGGTCTTGATCGATAAGATGGCTCATAACAATTTTGAAGCACGAGTCATCCAGCCACTCAGATCTCCGAAAAAATGCTAGTTCATGTACTTGCACTTGTCCGAACCGTGTACTGACCAACTTTGTTACACTGATCGATTCTAGACGTGCTGCGCAAGCTTTCAAATCAACGGTGGTGCAGTTGTTTAGCGGGCCAGGTAGCGAAATTCGAGTGAACTTTGAAACTCTGATCCATTCTGCAAGATCATGACCAGCAACCAGCTTCGGATATTCATCATGCCACATGAGCATCGCTTTCAGATCTTCCTCCGCAAAAGTACTCATCTTCGAAATAGATACCCCTATTCTGCCCGCATGATGATCGCTTGGCAACGACTTTCGGTAGATCTTGAATCCTGCCATACACTTAGCAACATATTCTTCGGGAAGACAATCGTGACTTTGCGGTGAGTCTTCTGCTTTCTCGCGAGGAGCACGATCGAAGTCGCCTTTCCAAGCCGGGTGGGGTCTTCTGGCGTGATGCTGTTCAGGACTGGTAAAGCATCTGCCACGTTGCCGTTGTGCTCTAGCGTCTTCCGAACAAGCGATAAGTCCTTTACAGGGACGAGTCTTCCTTGAACTAGTTCGTTTGCCTCGGCGCTTGCCTCACGCATACGAAGTCGTTTAGCTTCACGTACTTGTTTTCGACGCACCTTTGGCCTTCCCCTTGCTTTTCACTGCCTTGCTGACGATAAATTTTCCTGTAAGTACTTCACTGCTGGAGCTATCTCTGCTGCTCGCATCATCGCTTTCATCCGTTGCTGTTGTACGCCGCTTCCGAAGGACCAATTGGTTGGGAAATTTTACCAACTGGTTGTCATCTTTCACCAACTCGTTGGGGTCTTTCACTAACTGATTGGGATTGGAATCAGACTCGCTCAAAGGTGAGTTGTGTTTCTCCAACTGGCTGGGGTCTTTTACTAACTGGTTGGGGTCCGTATTAGACTCGCCCCTCGAACCCG